TTCTATAAAAGATATTTTTACTATACTAGCTAACTATTATAACTTTATTATATAGTATCTTACTTCTAAAAGCTTTATAAAACTACTAAAGTTAGTAAAGTACTTTATAGTTAGAGTTATATATAATATTAGTACTTATTATATAATTTTATACTTATAGTAATAATTACTATACTTATATTCTATAGCTAATAGAATATTTACTTCTATTAGCTAATTAGTAGCTAGACTTTTATCTAGTGTAAGTTAAGTATATATAGCTCTATAAGTAGAGTAATAAAAACTTTATATTTATATAAAAACTTTATATTTATATAAGAACTTTATATTTATATAAGAACTTTATATCTTTATAGACTTTATATTCTTTTAGATACTATATTCTTTTAGACTTTATATTTTTAGATATCTATTCTTTTAGTCTAAGTATAAAAAAATATTAAGTTTAGTATTAGAGTATATATACTATATTTTTTATATTCTAAAATATAATATAGTTAGAAAAATCTACTTTAGAGCTTATTATATCTAAATAGTATATATAAAGGTATTATAGAAAAAAGTAATTTAAATATTAAATAATAAAGTTAGTTAAATACTAGATATATAATATTAGACTATAATTAGATATATTATTCTAAAAAGACTAAAGATAAATTACTACTAAGCTATAATAGTAATTCTAAGATATTTATAACTAGTAATAAGTTAGTCTAAGCTCTTTAGAGCTAGAATCTAATAAATATTAGTATAAGTATATTATTTTATAATATAGATAATATATAGTTTAATAGATAGACTAAAAAGAAAATTAATTAAACTTAAAGTAAGATCTATATACCTTATAGTAGAATATAAAAAGCTATAGCTTTAGAAGCTATAATAAAGTAATAGAGTATTCTAGTATTATATATAATATTACTTTGTACGTAATAGAGTTAACTCTAATAGAAGAGACAACCTAGAGACTAAGTCTATTAGAATATAGTATTAAGAGAAATGTAATACACTCGCCTTTGCTTGTTAAATTCTGTAAGAACTACTAGTACCTAGAATTTGCCTGTGTTAAAGCTAGCTTTATGTCGTATATAAGAGAAGTACAGTCCTTTGTTAAATGCTTAAGCGTTTTCGTTAAGATAAAGCGGCGAGGGCCCTGTTTGTTGCAGATATGTAGAAGACGCTAGAGGAAGGCGAGGTCTGTCCGACCAATCTGTTTGATTGAGCTATACGGTTCGCGACGACGGGCTGAGCGTCTCTGTTCTCGGGCTCTGTCGACATCGCTCCGCTTCCACATTGACGGTCGAGGTGTGCGTCGCGCAGCTTCCTCGACTTGGCCTCAAGGAAGCGTCGGGGTGCCATGCTTCCAGTCTCTCCCTGCCGGTCGTTCTCCGTATTCTATGCGAAGCAACGTGGGTAAGGCTTACCCGACATCACCATCATCCGGCGTCCCTTTCCTCTGCCTCGACCCCTCTTAGCCTCCCAGCCTCTCCTGTGTCGCTCGTCACTTCGTCACAGGTGTTGCTGGTTGCGACATAGCCCCTAAGCCCCAACAGACGTGTGCTCTCATTCCCGCTGTCCGCCATGCCCAGCCCGCTCACCAGCATTGTTTCCTTCGCTGTTCGGCAGAGTCCCGCTCACCCACTAGCCCGCCAATCTTGTGTCGATTTCACAGCCTCGCGGATGGCCGGGAAGGCTGCTCTGTTCGGGTCGGGATCGTGCGCATCGGGTATCGTTCGGATTGTGCAGACGCCTGTGTGGGGTATGGCGGAGGGCGCGCGCCTTGCTTGAGGATTGTAAAGGGATTTTGGGGGAAGAGTCGCCGACGGCGAGGATGGCGGTGGAATAGTTGGGGATGCCGTAAGAAGGTCGAGGAATAGGTGATGATGGCAGAGGGCGGTCGGGAAACAGTACGTCAGGGCGGTAACGGATTCAACAATAGTTGGCAAAGGCCAAGGACGCGCTGGTGGCAGCGCTTCATGGTAGTACGGTCGCATTGGTATGTCGCAACCTTGGAAAGCTGTGGCCGCGCGAGCTGAACAAGTCGCGCGTTGTGATGCGTAACGGCGGCCATAGCGAGACGCCAAGGGAGCGACTAGTGAGAGGCTCAGCTTTAGCAGTGAGGATCGGTAGGTTCGTATGGAGGGACTGAAGCGTTGAACGGTATTGCGACGCGCTCGGTGTTGGTAACGCGAGCAGCCATCACTCGCGCTGCAAGTCTCGGTATAGGCTTCCCCAGATCTTGGGAGGGTGCGTCCTGTCGGCTCCCCAGACCTACAATCCCCAGCGAGTGCGATCGAACTCTCACCATGACACTGAGAAATACTGTAGCATCGCTTGGCTGTGGTCTCAAAGCTGTCCATGGCGGATGAGCCTTCGGCAAGCGTATGGTGTGCGTCTTGCCGCGTGCGGGCAGTCGTCGGTGGTCAATGAGCCTCTTCGTAACATGTTCGGTTTCCTTCACGACGCTGCTCGGGACGAGGCCGCCATCCGGGCCATTGCAGCATGCGCTCTCGCCATGTGATGGGTTCCTCCATGTTTCTGCCCGGGTAAGAAGGTTTGGTGTTCGCGATGACGGTGCGCTACTCTCCGTCCTATCTAGCGTCTTGGCGTGGGACAGAACTTCCCCGCGGAGGTGCGCAGTGGCCACATACACCGGACGCATGCCTAGTGCCCTGACTACTCACTTCAACATCACACGACGTATTCCAGATGACTCGAGAGCCCTATGCCTAAGCCGTGGAAGGAAGCGACACAGTCACGATGCGCCGCAGCAATACGGCAGTCTTAGAGGTCGCCGATGAGTAGGTGCGCAGAGCATCTTCACAGTCTCCACAGAGCCAACCGTACGTCCTACCACGAGTGTCCTCGAATGCGATGCTAATATGTATCTAGTGTGAACCTCCAAACCTTCTTTAGCGACTACCGTTCGCAGTCTCCGTCCCGTCACGTTGACCCCCCGTGCGCGTCGCATATTCATACAAATCACACGCCAATGATGGGAGAGCCCGCATCTCCGCGCACTGTGCGCTGCGAACAAGATCCGATCATGTCTTCCACTAGCATCAGCGGCAGCCGGTCCTCTCCGAGAGTCCGTCGACGGTGGGACGAACCGCACAACAGCAGGGACTTCACCACCAGTCCTGGTGCCAGCTCTGGCATGAGATCATCGCTCTGAAAGCGCTCTGCTTCCAGCTGCATCTGTTTCTTGTGTGATAAGAGAATCGGCTCAAATGACTGCGTTATTAGCGTAGGTTGATTGTTGACGGTTCCCGCTCCTCAGCTTCCCCCAGCTTGGGACCGTCATCGACCAATCGGCCATGGATGAAACCAGAGCATTGCGCATACTTACGGATGGGTAGGTAGATATTGAAGCTTGCCGGTTCATGGTGAGTCGTCGCGCACGCGCAGATTTCGGCTCTGTACTCACAAATGTGATCGAGCAGAAGCCGGTATCCGTCCTCCTTCCTCCACCTATGCCTACGCCCGCGCGCCTCCACCGATACCACCCGATACCACAGATCCACGAATCATGCGAATGAGTCTGGCTCGACAAACACCTGTAGGGCGGTAGCAAGGCTGGAGTTACCGATCGCCCCCGGTCCGGCGGGAGCTGGGCACATCACATCGCCATCGTACGCGCGACTGCGCGATACGGAAATACGGTATACGCGATAATGCAGTGCAGGGCCTTCGCGGGGCTTCCGCGACCAGGCGTCACGGTACCGTTCGCGACGAAGCTGACTCGCGGGCTGATCATTGACGGAGCTGTTCCGCTGACGGTCGTTTCCTTGGGCTACCCGGCAGTTCAGTACTTAGTGGGAGCGCCTTTCACTTCGTGTTTTTGCATAGCGACAGCTCAAGCTCATTGCGACAGTAGCAGCACCCCCACATAGCGCGCCATACGCATGCCAATCCTCTATCCAAGTAAACTGCGAGCATGCCGAACCAGGCCTCGTCAATGCGCCCGCTGCGGCTACTGCCGCCGGTCGAGATTTGGACCACAAGAACCGTAAGGGCCACCACGAGCAAGATGCATTGCGTGTCGGGTGCCGTCAACTCAAAGACGGGTGAGCAAAATCATGGCTTCCTTTCGAAGAATGACTCCGGATCACGGTGGCAGAGCACAGCCTCGTCCTGTATTACGGCAGCTCCATCGCAATACCAGTTCCACGACTATTTAAGCTGACTGACGGTGCGAACAACGTCCCTGCAACTTTGGATCCCTTGCCCTGATGAAGGGCCTGATCTGCCATCAGACGAGGCAGTTGAAGCTGATATCGAACAATCTCGCAACTCACACGCCAATGTATGCAGCTGAAACCCGCAAGGCTCTGCGCTTGAGGCTGTTGTCTAGTACGACCGGGGCTTTGCGATGATCGTGTGTGACGTGCCGGTTCCGACGATAGATTGTACCGAGTGTGGCCGGGCCTTGATTCGGGCTGAACATGAAGATCTTACTCTGGCATACAGTATGATCGCGACATCTTTGATGGGTGGGCCAGCTACATTGACAGCTCTTCTACAAACTGCTGACCCCTTTTGGGCTAGGTGGCCATTGATGTGAGCCGTTTTTGTACAGGACTGCAGTCGGCAATATCTCCGCGGGGCACCGCCGATCGTCTTCACCGGTTTTCCCGAGCCATCCTGTCAAACCTGCGACCCCACGTTGTTGCGTAGAATTGTCTTTTGCCTGCGTCGCTGTCTAGGTCAGAACTCGGTTCAGCCTTGTGCGACACAATCCATTGTATCCCATCCAAGAATAAAGGCATACGAAAAGATGCGATGCAGCGTGATTTCCAAGAGAATGCGTATCGCAGGCTGATCCCGTGGGCTCCTCCAATGAAATGCGATGTAGGTAATTGGAGCTGGATTCTGCATGCTGCACTGCCTGCATACATGAAGCCTAAGCGCCTCGGTAGACCGAAGCCTCAGCCTGATCGTATTAATACATAAAGCGCTGGTCCCCGCTTTCATCCTCGTGCTTCCTTGCATCAACCACGATGGAGCCGCTCGCTGCCCTGGGAATTGCTGGGAACATCATACAGATAGTGGACTTCGCCTCTAGCCTTGTGTCGCGTAGCCACGAGCTTTATCAGTCAGCTGATGGCAAGCTTGCCGATCACACAGTGCTGCATAGTGCCGCGCAAACTCTCCTGGGATTGTGCGACGAGTTGCGACTTCTCGCGCCGGAAAGCGAATTACCCCGTGGGCCTGCTGCTGCCGCCTTCGTATCCAAGCCTGCCGGGAGTAAAGAACCTCCCAAGCTCTCTGCTGCCGATGCCCGACTTGTTCAGCTTATGAAAGACTGCGAAGCTGCCGCGAACAAGCTTCGCGCCGCTCTAAACAAAGCAAGCGGAAGCAGCCGTAACAACGCGTGGAAAAGTGTTTATCAAGCCTTAAAGAGTATACACAGCGATCAGGAGATTACAAAGCTTGCTAGTCAGCTTGAAGGCATCCGGAAGCAGGTGGATAGTACTGTGCTGGTCTCAATTCGGTAGATGATTACTTCCTGTATTCAGTGGTACCCTGCTAATATCTTCAAGACAGCGAGTGGATGCTGTAGTAGCGAAGCCAGCATCAGCTAAGTTCCCTAGTAACTTGCGTGGGTTTCAGATTGAGAGAGATCAAAGAGACAAGAAACTGCTCGAGGCAGTCTACGCTAATAACTGGACGGGTACCAACGCGCAGGATGTCGAGGAGTTTTCGAGACACTTACGTTCCAACACATCTAAATCGCAAAAAGAGCAATTTTGCGACCTCTTGCTGCCTCGACTGTATTTTCAACATATGGTCAATCGGTCCGAAAGCATATCTGAAGCGCACAAAGAAACATTTGAATGGTTGTTTGACCCTCGGTACAGCTTCTCTACATGGCTCCAGGAAAAAGACGAAGGTCTCTACTGGATTACTGGCAAGCCTGGCTCCGGCAAATCAACCTTAATGAAGTTTCTGTACAACCACAAGACTCTTGATGCACAGTTAAGTGCCTGGGCTGATTCTCGGGGTGGCCCAAAGAAGATCACGAAGACCGGGTTCTACTGCTGGAATTCGGGAAGCGACATGCAGATGTCGCGTTTAGGCCTCCTCCAGACCTTGCTCCACCACTGTCTCTCAGGAGACACTGAACTATGTCTCAGAGCGTTTCCCGAGCGTTGGAAGCAGTTTGCTGCATTTGGCGGTGGCCTAGAGACGTCCTGGGACTGGTTTGAGCTCAAGCGAGCTTTCGAGAACATTATATCAGATCAGTCTCGGTCGTACTTCATTCTTATCGACGGTCTGGACGAGTTCGACGGAGAGCTGAAGGATATCATCAAGCTTGTCTTGGGCGCTGTACGCCCGAACGTCAAGATGTGTGTTGCGAGTCGACCATGGCTCCCCTTCGAGGATGCGTTCAAAGGCCGTCCAAACTTGCTTCTCCAGGACTTGACGCAGCATGATATATCCACATATGTGGCCGAGACCTTTCGCGAAAACGAGCATTACATCCGCTTACAGCTTGACGCTCCCACCGAGGCAGGGTTCCTATGTCAAAGCATCGTCGAAAAGGCTTTGGGTGTGTTCCTGTGGGTTCATCTTGTCGTGGAGTCGCTGCTAGAAGGTCTTTCGAACTCGGACAACCTGCGTGATCTTCAAGCGCGCCATGACGCGCTTCCCTCCGACTTGGAGGCACTCTTCGAAAATCTACTACATAGTGTAGACGATCGGTACTACACACAAGCTTGCCAAATCTTTTACATGTTACGACTCCATCGGGAGAGCAATGCTGGTCAGAACCGCAATTACAACACGCCTTCCCTGTTAGGGATGCATTTCGCAAGTGACGAAAACCTGACTTCCAGTATTACGGCACCTTGGGAAACTCTTGAGGAGCATGAAGCTTGCCGTAAATCTGAACACATGAGAAGGCGCCTCGTCTCTCGATGCCGAGGCCTCTTGGAAACATCGAATCCTGAATCCAATCGTCCTGCATTCGACCACGAGATCGTTTACCTTCATCGCACTGCGCGAGACTACATTGAATCTCGTAACTACTGGCCGAATGTGGTAAGAATAGCTAGCCAAGGAGATTTCAGGGCAGAGCAACGCTGGGCTAACGCCAATCTCTGGCTGTACAAAGTCCATCCGCTCTTTTCACCCATCAGTGGCGGTTGGCATTACAGCCTCCAGAAATCCAAGCTTGATTGCGCTTCTGCTATAATGTCGTTTCCGGAAACTGAAAGTCAGCTTCGCAAAGCTTATCTGGACGCGATGCTGCTTGCCGACCCGTACTTGAAGTTCACATCGTTTGAAGACTCCTTGAAAGCAACACTGGGGTTATTCAATAGAGTAGACGGCCTGGATCAGTGTTACCGTGAATTCTACCTCACCGAGCTTACTGCAAGGGCAAGTCCGGAAGAACGAGAAATACTCAACAAACATGCCGGGCACCCCAGCATCAACAAGGCCAATGGACGGCACGACGTTGTACGGCATCATGGGAGTAACAGCTTCTCCCGACTGACAGGGTATCATAAGATGCGGATGGGAATAAAGCGTCTTCGACAGCGAACAGTTGATTGACGGGGTAAGGCGGACATCGGTATTCGCTGCGTCAATTCGAGGCTCCACCAAGAGTTTGCATTGAATGCTTGGAAGCTGCTGTCGCTGTGGCGTCCAATCTTGCAGTGATTCAGCAGTTGTATCCACGAGGGTCGGAACAGATACATCGGCGTCGAGCGCCTGCTATCAGAGTCGTTGGCGAGTGAAGTGCCCAACATCCTTTCAACGACCTTTGCGAACTCGGAGATCTTGAAAGGATGAACGTAGCGGCGGCGCACGGAAAGCGACTGTAATATCATGTCGCGTCGATTCGGCTTGTGATGCTTTCGTTCAGGAACCACGATGAGTCCCATGCGCAGGCTCACCACCTAGGCAATTGAAGACGCAGTCCCCTCGCTGGCAGAGCCACAAGGATGCGCAGGTGGGGTGACTTCGAATCCTCCGTGGTAAGTGACAAGCGTTCGACAAAAATGGAGGCAGTATGACAGCCACGATTCCAAGTGTTGCTGCATGGAGACTGTGTCTACTGCGCCGCTGTTGTCGCGCGCCGAGGGAGTGACATGCTGGGGACTTCAGCTACTCCCATTGTTTAGGGGGTCGCACCCCACAATACGCTCACAGCATGTCCTCACTCGGCCCCATCACGGCAACACGCCCCGCACCATCGCCATTCCGTCATTCAAAGGTTTCGAAACGTCTTGTCTTAATCAAGACTCAATTCAAGAAGCTGGATAATGTTGATGGTGTATCAGGCGGACTGTCGAGGTCCTTAGACAGGTCAACTCAACCTCCCGCGCGATGCATCCTTACATTACAGGCTTTCGGAACAGCACCTCGCGCCTAAGTCTTCCGTCTGCCAATCGCGATCGAGCTCATCTTTCACCATGAAAGCGAGTGTCGCGATGGCTGGCATGACAGTGTAGAGTGCATCTTCCATCCTGCTGCCGCGCGCGACGCACCTCTTGACGTCGATAGAAAGGGAAGACACCTTTGCGGATCGTCGTGGGTTTGGTACTAATCAGTCACTGTGTCACATTGTCCTCGCTGCGACGCAAATATCGAGAGCCGGCTTCGCCAACTGGGACCATCGCTTGCCTGTATCTTGCTCATCCTGGAACGTTCATACACGAAACATTCAGGATGCACTATCACAACACGACGAGGCCGATTGCTGCGATGAACAAGACCCCCGCTTAATGGAAAACATTCATATCTCGTCTTCGGCAGCGTCCTCGAAGCCAGCATCAGTGACAACAATAAACGGGGTCAAGGAGGGCGATACCGGATATTTGACGCGTTCCCTGAGGACTCGAGAGGCATGCTGGTGAAGGACTCATCAGCGAGGTACACTCGGTGCATCGCTTCGATTATCTTTGAAGACGTTGACTTCGACCTTCCTGCGAAACCTTCCGGTTTCCCGTGATGGATTGCGCAAACCTGACAAGAAGAGCCCCACCAGACCACGGCTACTGAGGCATCGCGGCCCAAAGATCAGATATTCCACGAGCCTAACGCCACCGATAGTGGGCTGGTCAAGCTGCTGTTGCAGATTTCGGGCGTCGCAATTGAGCTCGGGTCCTTCCTTCAATGACAAGCTGCGCAGGAAATGGCTCGCCGGTCCGCACACAAGCCTGACGAGGCTGAAGAACTCTTTTGTACACACAGCGCAGTTGTTTAAAGCCTTAGATAGGCTTGGTGTATGGGTCGTGAAACGCACTGAAATGCGCATCGGTGGGCAAATGCAAGCGTGGTGAACCGAGACACGCTGGATACGATCATGCTGAGCAGAAGGATTGGATCGATATGGGAGCAGGTGAGCCGATATTTCCTCCCCTGCGCACGGCACGACAAGGTGCATCGAGGCGTACAACGCCTTCAGCGACAATTGGAACTGTTACAAGCGGGATAAAGATGGTCACCATTCCAAGACCCGGCAAGGGCTCGACGACGGGCCCGGATTTGTTGATAGTGTCCATTCTTTTCATGTGGCTATAGTGCAACTTATTCTTTTCAGATGTCACATGGCTCAAGACTGCCGGCTGAGCTGTTGTCTTCATGGCTTGTCCAGTGTCGCACTTCTTCGATATACGTGTACTCGCGCAGAGCAATCAAGTTCCATTCGAAGGTATGTCTACCATCAATGTTGCCGACAGGCAAGGCGCTGAAAGCCAAAAGGTCGCCTTGGTCACGTCGATAATCATAGGAGCTGGGGCTGTCGGGAGTGGAAGTGCATGCCGTCCGTGTGGTATTGCAGGCCTCCACCTAAGTACTATCACATTCGGCTTCATGCACACGTTGTCCAGGCGCAATACCAAGACCGAGATGAAGGCAGTTCATGTACGCAATCTCGCAAGGCCACAGTATGAGTCAAAGCCGCATTTCTATCGGCAAGGCTCTGGGACTGTCCGGGTGGGATGCGTCGAATCATCGTAGCCAAGGATGGGCAGTCACCAGTAGTGGAGGGTCGGGGATGGGATGCAGGATCGATATCGGTATTGAGAGGCTGGACTGTGTTTTCACAAAGGATAGTTGGCATGATATCGGGTATGGCTGCATGGTGGGTGGGATGTCTGCTGCGCGACGGCCAGGCGTGTGCGCACGTCGCCTGGGCCGAGGGCACGCGGGCGGGCGACGCGCTAGGGACTTCCGGCTGCGCCGATTGGTCAGCGGCCGCCCCGCTCAACAAGACGCACTCGACCCTTCACGTCAGCCCCATCACAACGACGCGACGCGCATTACCGCGCGCATCACATCCCTTCCATCGCAAACATTGCCCATCCATATATACGTACGTTCCGGCAGTTAATTGACGCGCTCAACACAACGAACAACGACTTCGCGCGCTTGCGCACCCATGGATACGCTCAGGCGCACGAAGAGTGTTGAACCTGCGCACAACCACCTTACCCGGGCAATTACTGCTGTGGCATATGGTCAGCAGATATCCATACCGGCTTCATCAACTTTAGATTAATAACCAATGCCCAGGCGCCCAATGTGATCATCGTCACTCTGGGTTGAACTCCATCCGCGGCACCCTGCCAAATCGCACTTACCCATCTTCGTACGTTCGACAACGATAGAGCCCTCCGGCCGCACTCATATCTTCGCGATACCCAGGCGCCATAGCATACTCAATATGCTGAGCCTTCGTACGTCGCGTTTCGCCGGCGCGCATAGCGCGTCCTCAGCCTCCACCTTGACGTACCGAGCAAACATCGAAGACCACACCACTGGTTCGCGAAGCGACGGGCGGACATCCGACCGTGGGACAACACATTTGCTACCGTCTCACGGAAGGTCAGTCTTGTCCGGGTAAAGCGCCCTTTTAGGTCGTCATGGGCGGCGACAACATCCACACGCATGGCAGGCACTCCAGCGCGGCTGCCTCCTTAGGCGGATTCGGGAACTATACCACCATGTTGTCCTCTCGTGGGAGAGATGGCTTAGCGCTACTCTAGGTGTGCAAAGGCGTGCACCGGCAATGCCTTTGCTACTCTTGGCTGTTCTGCAGCCCTCATGAGACACATCCAGCCACCACCGAATGAGGCGCCCTAACCATCCTTCGTGCAGTTCTGCCACCAGCGCGTCATCACGAGCATGAACATGTCGAAGACGAGAAGCTACGCCTTGCCGCCGCTTCATTCTATGTCCAATCCCTTGCCGCAGACGAGGTCCGCAATGCGCGTCTAGTCGCCGCCTGATGACCGATGACGCAACGCATTCACCAGCCTTGACAGCATATGCCACACGACTAAGCGCTTCGATCCGCCTGCCCTCCATTGTCCTGTCGACTACACACGTGCGCGTCCGGCTCCCATATCCGAATGGGTGGAAGCAGCATGGCACCCGGCTGCCTGCCTTGGTCGACTGTCTACGGCCGCTTGTCATCAAGTGTCTACTCATGCATCCTTCCCCGCGAACCCATTGCAGACTGCTTGAGCCCGATAAATCTATACCGTTCCCAGCTTTGGTGGCCTGATCAGTACAGGACCGGGCGGCGAGGATGCAACTGGAGAGCAATGGATGGGCTTGTCCAAGCGCGTAGCCGTAGTACGCTGGACTATGAGGACTGACAAGCCTAGCACGGTCTCTGGTCGTCAGTGGGTCGCAGTAAGTTTACCCATCTAGCAGTCATCCTACACCGTACTAATGTTGATGTGGTAGGCTCACACGGTACGCGCTACTCACAAGTCCACACCCTGCGACGCTGCCACCCTTCGCCGCTCGCCCCCCTCGTACATCTCATCTCTCTCCGCAATCGCCTGATTCCCCGCGCTTCAGCGTCCTGAACTGCCCACATATCTCCTCACAGACGGCAGCATGG